AACAAAATAGGATGATTTTTATTATGCATAGTCTCATATTTTTTTCAAAAGAAGCAAAAATCTGTGACGTTCTGGAGAGGACGTGAAAATTGTATTTTCGCGTCGTGAAATCGTCCAAGACGACGTCGCAAACCAGAAGCTGACGATAGTTGGAGCCAAATGACGACATCCACGTCCTCTTGACGTCCCCGTCTTGTTATCTAAAACTGTCTATTATAAACTTGTAGCCGCAGTTTCTGGGACCATCGTTCAGGCAGATGATCACTTTTCAAATCAAGTTTACTTTCCAGCCGAATGTTACAATGTCGGGAATGCCGTTACCACAATTCTCAGCTACAATCCAAGTGATAATATGTCTCTCGTCACGGAGGATACCGTTTGGAAACCCACGTGGTTAAAAGTACGAACATGATGCAGATATTGTTAACTGTGACCTGTCGATAAAGACGGACATGAATACTGAGTTAGACTGGAAATTGGACACCCTTAAGTTTTATATATATATTTTATTATTTGCATTATGATATATTACTAGTTTTTCGACTAAAATTGCATGCGATTTTTGTATTTTTTCCTTATTATTAGCCAGACTCGTGAGAATATGTATGCCAACCAAAATATCTTAGGTACACTCAAAACGCGTAAACATGTTGGACGTATTGATTTGTGACGAACTTTTTTATTTTGATAAGCGAATCAACCGGAAGTACAAGTACTTCCGCACGGCGCCATATAGCGATCAAATATCAGTATGAATATCTCCAGGAAAAACGAACTTGGCAAAATTCAAAAAAGTGATATTTTATTTTATAGGAGAAAAACTGTTCTGCAGTGTGACGTGATCAGCGAAAATCTAAATCTTTGGAAGACCTTTCCAGATTTAGATTACGCCTTCATTGGCTACGATATCAGCAAAGGCTACCCCAATGAGAACGGTCATGATCCCGGTTTTACCCACCAAATCTTTTGTGCTGATCACAGTGACAATCCAAAAACAAGTGATTGTCGTTAGCGAATGGTTTGTTAGTTGTCCCCGACGTATCGTGCGTTACATCGTTTATCTCAACAATAATTCAAAATTCATTTGAGTTGCATAAATTAAATCTCTTGCAACGTCGGTATCCGTTAGTGGAGGATTTGGAATCTCGAGTTACAAGAAAACCTCATCGGAAGTATCATCCGGCGAAAAAGTTTACATCACATCAACAGCCAAATGCACCTACTATAATCCAAACCCCCGCCACTGCACCCTGGTTTCTATCGCCGGGCAAAAACATTGGAGAGAAACAGTTCTAAAAGTAAATTACTTGAGTTTGTAATGTATTACGGTCTCAAAGCCATGTCGGCTCGAGGAAGTTCAGGAACACATTTGACATTGTGGAAAAAACAAATGATTCGATTGGATTCAGCTCTTGATCTGTTCGTTGTCAATTTTGATGCTGAAAATGCTAAACACCTGAATGAAACTAAACTCTACAGCCGAAACCACAAAGCATTCGTCTCCACACGTACCAAGCGACGCGCACATTGCTTCTGCTCTTGTGCTGAAATACTGCAGTGGGAACAGTTACGGTTTCGCAAACATTCATGTCATATGGTCGTGAACAATCCTGCCCAGCAGCTCAAACTCGTCATTCAAACGTGCAGTCCACATCAACTAAAGCGCATGGTGAAGACGTTGCAGTGATTTGTGAGTCTGGATTCCACATTTCAAACCAAAACCACGGTTCTTACACCTGTTTGGACGGAAAAGGGGTTCCTCCTCTTCCTTTGTGTATAATGACTAAGAAGTGTCCTTTTCCTGAGAAACCAGTGAATGGATTGGTCTCTTCAACTGGATTGCAAGGGGGATCAAAGGCTTTTTTATGTCTCTCACAAAGGATATGTCCTCTCATGGATGAAAGAACGCAAATGCATGAAAGAAACCTTGGAAGGAAGTGTCCCCAATTGTTTGGAAAGACATTGCACAAAGCTTCCAAGAACAGTAAATGGACATATCTTACATTCCCATGGGATAAGCGGTGCGCCGGTATACCTTTCCTGCGATCAGAATTTTCAGAAAAGTATCAGTTTCGTTAAAAAATGCGCCCAGGTTTGGCAGCATACTGCTCTGCGTTGTAAAGCAAAAACAAAACTGCAAACGGTCAGAAACACCCCTATTAAGGCGACAGGAAGATTTCAACGATGGGTGAACTCACGACGTCAGAGCAGTCACAAGTTAATAAGCAAGTTGATCTGATATTCTATTCCTCGAACCTCTACTATTAATATTTAAAAATGTAAATACTTAACATCTAACAATTATTAAATGAATATAATTAATTTAGCTGTCAACACTAATAATACCAATGTAATCGTACACTGATATGGATGGCAAAGGCCATATGCTCTATAGCGCGCCAAAATCAATTGCGCGAACGAGCATGGCTGACATGGTACGTTTGTGTATTGCACGACCAAACTAACATCACACTCGATTTCACCAGGTAGTCGCTAGAACTCTTGATCCAAAGACAAATTGATACGCGTTCAATGGTTCTTTGGACGGCCACCAAGAATCGAAACCAACAACAGTTGCGTTCAACAAATTGGTGGGAGACGTTCAATAACTCAAGCTCGAAGATGTTTACGGCAGCGATGGAAATCTCGCACCAAGACGAAGAAGTATGTTGTTACAGTCTCGACATTTTGAATTTTAGCAATGGCCCTAACGGAAAAAGCTATTTGATTTAAAATCGAAGGACCATTATATATATATTTATATATATCACTCCACGTCACATAATATTATTATTATGGCCGACATGATTTGCCATAAGGTTTATGAATTATTAATGAGTATTTTAAGTAATATTACAACCATGGCCAACGGCAACGTGTTGGTAAGTTGGTTTTTGACTTGAAAATGTCTGCGAATTGGTTAAGACTGTTTATACTTTATATACATTTATTTTACAATAGAAATATGCATATATTGCTATTTTTATGTTTATTCACTCTGTAATCCAAATCGGTTTCTGCATTCTGTGTCCTTCTCATACATATGCCAACCCCAAATCCCGGCTGACGAGTAAAGGACGTGTAAAGGAACAAATAAATTGATATCCCTGAAAGTTGGAGAATCTGTTTTCACTGACGACCAAGGTATTGCAGATAGCATGAACTCGTATTTTTCTTCTGTTTTTACAGTTGAAAATTATGATAATATCCCAGTGCTTGACTATATTGTGGACGAGAGATTAGAGAACATCCGTTGTTCTGTTGACGAAGTAGGAAAGCTTCTTCTAAATCTTAAGGTAGAGAAGTCCCCGGGACCTGACAATATCCCTGCACGTATTCTAAAGGTATGTGCAACAGAGCTGGCACCTTCAATCTCACTTTTGCTAAATAAGTCATTCTCGATGGGCATGCTACCTATAGAGTGGAAAACGGCCAACATTACACCGATTTTTAAAAAAGGTTCGAAGAATAGTAGAGAAAACTATCGTCAGATATCTCTTACAGGGATTATATGCAAAATAGGTGAGAAAGTTGTTCGAAGTAGAGTTCTCGATTTCTGGTATAGAATGAATATTTTGAGTGAGAATCAGTTTGCCTATTTGAAAGGCAAGTCAACAGTAACACAACTACTATCAACTGTTGATGACTGGGTGAGATCTAGAAACTCTGGCGTGCCCACTGATGTTATTTTTCTTGACCTCGCAAAGGCGTTCGATAGTGTGCCGCACGAAAGATTGATTTTGAAGTTAAGAAGTTATGGTATCGAAG